GAGCTGGGTTGGATGCTGCCCCGGCTGTAGCCCCGGGTGGTTGCCTCCCTTTGTGTGGCAGAAACTTGGAAGGGCCCCCCTTCATTGCAGCAATGTCTTCTGGAGGTGGGAGGAGAGGGAGGAAGGGGAGCTGGCCGCTGCCTGCCACAGTGAGGATTAGCCAAGAGGAGAAGGGTGAAGGGAATTTTCTCAGCTGTGCTCTTACTTTGTGCAAAGGATGAAGGGGGAAAGCCACCATCACCCCCTGAATGGACCATGCTGTCCTTCCCATCACTCTCTCCTCCCCACTGCCCACATCCTCCCCTCCAGGCAGGAGAGAAGCTGCTATCAGGGCCTCCCCTTTGCTCTCTCCCATTTCAAGCACATCCCCTGTCCCCATCAGGACACTGCATACTTCACACTGGGGCTCCCACCCCATCTGCCCCTTTGAGCAGATCTCTGGGGCCCCGCAGGTCCTAGGCACCACCAGGTGGGCAGCTCAGCCAGGGATTGCTTGGTGGGACCACAGCCAGGTGCCGTGTCCTCCTGCCACCCCAGGGATGTCCTGGCAGCACACGGAGCAGGGAGCAAGGTGCACTTGTGCCTCACTGCTCATTGCACAGGAGCAGTAGTGTTTGCCAGCTGGGCAAGTGCCTGCAGCTGGGGATAACGCCGGCAGCCGTGCGTGTTCTGGCTCAGGAACTGAATGACATATTTGGAGGTATGAGAGCATGTGCTTGTTTTACTTGGTGTTTGGGCTGGCAGGGCTGCTGTCAGAGTGGCTCAGAAAGGGATGGCTGGCAGTCCATGCTTCCCTTCTGCTCCCTGAGCCTCATGCCCGGCTCAAGGATGGGGCTCAAGGTCCCCCAGCCCCTGCCGCTGCCCCTCAGGCAGACGCTTGCTGACAAAAGGCATCCTCAAAGCTGCTGCTGCCCATCCTGCTCTCCCAGACAGCTGCCCAAACTCTGGCAGGGCTTGGCAAGAGGTAGGAGCAAATCAGTGAGCTCTACAAGGAGCTGACTGTTTCTGAGATGCTTATTACATCCAGACTCTTGCAGATATTTTTGTGGCTTTATTCCTTGACTGTTGGCTTTGTTTCCCCTTTGGTGAGGGAGCCTTCCTCCCTTGGTTCCATGCTGCATAGGCTCATGCAGTGCACACTTGCAGCCTCCTCCTTCCAGGAGCGTCCTCCAACCATAGGCACCCTGGGTCTGGCCTGTCATCTCACTTCACTTCATGTATTTTTGACCTGGTTTGTTGATTCTCCAGATGCCTGTGCGGGGAGGCATTCCTGGAGATAGGGATGCATGGGGAAGGTCCACATCCTCAGCAGCAAGCCCAGTGGCAGCTGCACAGCTGATGTGGCAGGGTTGCAGCCTCTTGAACATCAGATGGGTGTAGGTATACAAGCCCAGTCTGCTGCTTGTGGGGCAAGTCTTTGAGCTTGCTGCTGGTCTCCCAGCTGGCAATAACCCCTGCAACTTTCCTTTCCTGCCAGCTTGGGCACCCAGCTGCTTTACCAGCGGTTTCCAGCTTATCCCATGAGATTGTCCCATAACCCAGAGCTGAAGTAAATGAGTGGAAGTTCACAGATTTGAATAAAGTCTTTCCCCCGCTTGTTTGCCCCTTGCTGTGACAGGCCCTACAGAGTACAGCTGGTATTGGAGTGGTCCCTCCTGGCCTGGCAACTGTCCCCAGTGAGGTGTTTGGAAGGGTGTGATGGCAATTTGTGAGCTGGGGCTCGTGACCACTGGACTGCAAGGCAGGGGAGGCGCGGCCGCAGCGCCCTGTGCTGGGCCAGCAAGGGAAGTCCTGCTGGAAGCAACGTTTTTATCTGGGCTGCCTGGGCCTGGTGTTTGAATGCTTGGAAATGCTCTTCTCCAGATGTTTCCTAGCACACGCCGGCTCTGTTTATAAACAGCTCCTCAAAGCAAAGCCTGTTGGGGCTGCAGGCAGGCGCTCGCACAGGCCCCGCACGGCTCCCCTGCACCATGGCACGGGCTCTGGGGCCACAGGTCACCTCTGTCCCCTCCCATCTAGATGGGTTAGAGCAGTTAACAAAAGCCCCAAATGCCTCCTCTTCCTTTCTCCTCCCTTTCTCCTGGCTAACAGCTTCCTGCCCCGATGCATCCTGGTGGTGCTGCCTTCCTGCCCAGGCTTTTGCTGCTGGGGGTGCAGAGAGGAGGGCACACTGCCCTGCCTGAGCTGCCTGTTTCCAGGGAGATCCCAGCCACTCCAGGGGCTTGGGTCTGGGAGACATTTCCATTGCATCCAGCTGGGGTTCAGTTCCTTGATGATTACCTCAAGGGCACATCCTGACAGCACGCTCATCCAGCCCCTGGAGTTTTACCCGTATGTTTTGCCGAAATTTGAGGTGGGTGCAAAGGGGCGATGTTAGGCAGGACAGAGTGGAGTGGATGCAGGCTGTGTCAGCTGTTTGGCTGGTGGTTGAGCTTTGCCAGCACCATCTCCTCTGAGGAGAACAATGCTCTCATACTCGTCACTCCTTCCACTTCTAACTGGGTGGAGGTGCTGTTCTCTGTCCTGGCCCCTACACGACAGAACCAAAACCCGCTTGAAAGACAAAAGCCAAGAAAAATCCTGTCTAAACAGCTGCTGCCAGTGGCCCTGCCAGGATACCTTTCCCTTGGTAAAGGCAGGGCTGTTGTGCTCAGCTGTGAGCAGGTTCCCAAACCATCAGCACTGCGAAGCCACCGGCAGCTCATCACATCCTGGATCTCACCTCAGCATCGCTCCCTGCGGATGGCCCTGCCCTCCCTGCCAGCCCCACACCCTGCACACGGCCGGGGGAGGACAGCCCTGTCACAGCCAGTGCTGGGAGGAAGGGCTGAACAATTGCTGCTTGTCAGTCTGTCTCCTCTTCCTGTAGAAAAGGGCATGTTATCAGCCATCCACAAGTCATCTGGGGAACAGCATTACTGAAAAACTGAGTCATGTGATACAGATTTGCTTTAGCCTCACCATGGTCTGGCAATGCCAAGGGCCTGGGTGCATGCAATTTTTTTATCCTGGCTGCTTGCAGTGGCTGTAATCTTGTCCCTTAGCTTGGGCAGCATGTGTTTGGTGGTAAGAATGTGAAAGGAATCAGCTTCACTGCTGTGGAGCTGGAAATGTGCTCCCTTCTGTGGCACTGCTTACCCTCTCCCTCCTGTCAGCTTCCAGCATAACATTCTGGGCAGGGCAATGGCTTTCTTGGCACTGCCAGGGAGAAGCAGAGAGCAGAGGATGCAGAGGTGGGCTTGAGCCACTCCCTGGATCTGAGTACTTCCAGCGGCTGATTGGTACATGGCTGGGGCTTGTCTTTAGAGGGGAGCAGGTGAGCTTCCCTCTAATGCTGCATGGAGAATGTTTTGTCTCCCTTTTCTAAGGAGCAACCCATCCATGAGTTGTCTTTGCCTGTCCTCAAGACCCAGCTGCTCTTTGCAGAGGCAGAGCCCTTTATCCTTTCCCCACTGTTTAGATCCAATGAGCACTGCTCCCCATGAGCTCTGATGAGGCAGCCCATCCTCCACTCCCCTTCCCTAGGAAGCATGGACACGACTGCTTCAAGGCTGAGCCCTCCTTCCATGGAAAACTGGCACTGAGAAAAACCCTGTCCATTCTGAATCAGGTGGAAGGGAGTGGTGTAAAGACCCTTAATGAAATGAGAAATATCCGTGCTTTAATGGAAAGTTTTAAGGAAGTGATGCTGCATGATTCTTGTGGCTCTCCAGATCAGGAAATACAAAAGATATTCACAGTTGACATCATTAACAGATCCACATTTCTGCTGGGAAAAAAAATAGAAAAACAAAATAGATCCCATTTCTGCTGCAGTAATTCTGCTGGTGTCTGTGTAATCCTGGCTGTCACCTTGGCCAGTTTCGCTGTGCTGGGGACCCAGAGCACAGGCCAGGAGGATGGATTTGATAATCTCATCCCTGTACAAGCTGTAGAAGTCCCTGAGCAAGAGCCTGTGGGAGCTCAACATGGCTTCTTAGAAGAAAAATTTAAATTTAAATGCTTGCAGTGGAGAGAATTGCCTCTGGAGCTGACCCAGGGGCAAATGTCCCTGCATCTTCTTACATCTGAGGGAGCCCAGCTTCAGCTTCCATGGGATCACTTTAAACATTTGGGTGCTAAATCTACCAAGTTCTCGTTGCCTTGAGCTGCATGGAGACTTGGGTGATGTCTGACAGGTTTGAAGAGGAACCAGTGGCAGGCTCTCCTTATTCTTTCTAACAGTGTTTCTCCTTTACATCTTCACAACAAGATGTAAAAAAACCCTTCTGTGACTTTACATTAAGTGTGAGGGCTGGAAGGAGAGAGCAGTGCTGGCAGCCCTGGGCTGTGAGATGGTGGTGGAGGTCATGGGTCTCTCCTGCCCTCCTCTGACACAACAGGCTCAGACTGCTCTCAGGTGCTCAGCTTTGCAGCAGAGGATGCTGTTTGAGGGAAGAAAACTTTCAGACTGAATGGGAGCAATTTTGAAGGGCAGATCCAGCTACTTGGGGAATAGCATGGGATTAATTCAATTCCTGCAAGTAGCCATGTATGTATGGTGAGGTACATTCTCTGACACAGGACTAAGGAAGGAGCCAAAGAAATTTCTGGGCTGCTTGCTTAGGTAATTGAAATTAGGACACTTCTGGTGGTTCACCCAAGGCGCTGGGGATGTGGTTTTGTCTCTCTGCACAACCGTGTGAGCAGTCACACGATCCTGTGTCCACTTGACTCACCAGAATGATGCTGGTAGAAACAAAAGAGGCTTTGGAAGATGGTAAGCAGCATGGTTTGAAGTCTGGGCAATATCCTGTGCAGGGGGGTGGAGAGAAAGGCAGCCTGTGAAGCACTGGTTGTTCTGAGAGGCTGGGTGCCTCCAGACAGAAGACAAGCATGGTGAGATCCCTTGGGTGGGTGGTAGATCCTGTGCTGTGATCCAGACCTGCCCAGACTTGTGGTGGCTGCTTTTCAGGCTGCCCTCCCTGACATCCCTGTGCCTGTTCTTCCTCTCTTTCCAGGCACACTTTCTGGCAGTATCGCCGTGAGAACCCCCAAACCAAAGTGGGGGAGCCCCCTCCTGATGGGCTGCCAGGCTTCAACAGTGGTGTCCTGCTCCTGAACCTGGAAGCCATGAGGCAATCCAAGCTCTACAACCAGCTGCTGGAGCCCACCATGGTGCAGAAGCTGACGGAGAAGTACCACTTCAAGGGCCACCTTGGGGACCAGGATTTCTTCACTATGGTGGGGATGGAGCATCCAGAGCTTTTCCATGTGCTTGACTGTACATGGAACCGGCAGCTCTGCACGTGGTGGAGGGACCATGGGTACAGCGATGTGTTTGACCAGTACTTCCAGTGTGAGGGGGAGGTCAGAATTTACCATGGGAACTGCAACACCCCGATCCCTGAAGACTGAGGCACTGCCCTCAGGGGCAGCTCTGACTGCAGCAAGGCCTGCAGAGCCATAGTGGCTGCACTAACAGTCCCTCAGGAAGGGTGACCAGCTCTGATCCAGCATAATCCAAGGGAATCTAGGGATCCCAAGAGCATTCAGTATCCTACTGCCTGTAGCCTCACCCTCCAAGAGGAAGGGCAGTTCAGCTGTTGGAACAGGACCTCCACAGCCACTGTCCAGGGCTCAGCTCCTGGCTCTGCTTAGCCAAGTCCATGGTGCCCATCTGTGCCTCAGCTGCTGGGGCATGGGAACAGCCTAGGGGCCATCAGAGACTGCTGCTTTTGCATGAGGCAGGTCCTTGCCTTGTCTGATGGTCGGCAGGAGGCCCCAGGGGGCAGTTGGGTTTCATTTGTCATTCCTTGGTGGCCCGTTTCTGCACCTCATGCAGAGAATTGGTCTGGTCCCTCCGGAGAGCAGACACTGTTCTCAGGTCATCTTCCTTTTGAAGCATTCCAGAAAGGTGAGAGGGCTTTAAAGACTGAAAAGCTGCTTTAAATTGGGTTACTTACAAACAAAAATTGAGTGCTAGATAAGCTTCAAAGCCTTCTGTTGATTCCTCTGAGCAATAAAAGCTTTACTGCCCTATGTTGTCCTACTAGTGTTCAGTGAGTGTGTAGCAATAGGTTCATTTTTCTAGCTTTGCCTTTAACCTTTCATACAAGAATAAAGCTGCAGATATCAGACACGCTCGGCTGTTTTTCTGTGGCACAACTGAAGTCCTGTGCAATAGGAGGTTTCCTGCACTTATCATGTTTAAAAAGTAGCTGATGTATATCTGCTGGGCAGTTGAGTGTGGTGCCCCACATAGCTTATCCCACATCTGTTCCATGTGAGTGATGCAAATAAACAAGCTGGATTTTTAAAGATCATCACCACCGTAGCCACGGTTGGTTTGGAGGGAACTGGGAGCTGCCTGTGCTGTGAATGAGTGAGCTTCAGGCTGAGCACACTATTCCTTGAATAAATGCTGCCTCAGTGAGCCTGGCTGGCTGCACAGGTCTGTGTCAGGGACCTGCACAGCTCATTAACCACCTCCAGCCCAGCCCAGCTTGTTTTACACCCTGTGTGTGCATCAGTGTGATGTGCATGTGCAAGAGAGAGGCATGGGGAGCTGATTGCGGCTTAGCCTAATAACAGAACACACTATATATGTGGCAGGAGTATCCTGGGCTCCTTCCCCCATGCCCATGAATGAACTTACTGGGGGAGAGGCTCTCCTCCCTCGAGCTGATGTGCAGAGACAGCAGGCTGTGGTATGGGCTGCATCCTGAACCCTGCCCTCTCTGATGTGCTGAACCAATCCATTTCCAAGCAGCACAAAACCTTGTCTTCAAGTATTTTCTCATCCCCAGGGAAGGAACAGCAAAGAGGTGATTAAAGGTGAGGGAAAGATGCAGTACCTTGCTGTGTTAGAGTCACATTTTCACCAAAAAGCAAGGTGATCCAGCCTCATTGTGCAAGGGAAGGCAGCCAGCCTTGCTGGAGGCTGCAGCGGGGCAGGATTTGGGGAAGGTGATGCACTGTGATGAGGCACCCTGAAGGATGAGGAGGGTTACTGCTGCTTTCTGGTCAGGGCACACTGGTGGCACCAGTGACACATGGGGTTTCACATGCCAGGGCAGGACCTTGCCATCAGTTTGGAAATGGCCATGCTGGAAATACAGGCCAGGCTGCTTGTGTCACCAGCACTGGGGAGGGATGGGGTGATGAGCAAACATGGCTTTTACTGGGGACTGAGCAGCTCTGGGGTGGCTGTGGGTGTCGGGACTGGCCCAAAAGGACCGTGATGGATGCTGCAGGGTGACACCTTGGGAGACAGGGCAGTGTGGGGCCAGGTGCCCTCCCTGCCCCGCAGCCATCCCTGCAGCTGGGCCAGGCATTGTGCTCTGCCTGCAGCCAGGGCATGCTCTCTGTAGGGTCAGGGGCACTTCTCCCTCTCTGTGGAGTCCCAGCATCTATGTGGGGGAACACCTACATGTGGCCACTATCGCCCCCGGCTGAAACCTTTTGCTTAGGTATTTGGTATTTTTCCAAAAATAATTACCTTTTTTTCTTTTGGTTCAAAAATCAGAGTCCACTGGGAAACTCACTGTGGGTTTTTTTTTCAGCTAGGAAAAGCGTAGTTAAATGAAACATTTAATGGAGCTTATTGGTTTTCCCCAGGCAGCGCAGAGAGCCCTGAGGCACAGCTCCCCACACAGCGCTGCCGGCCCAGGCCCGACCGGGCGGGCCCGGGCCCTGGCTGAGCACGGCGGGCAGCGAGGGCCGCACCGCGCTATTTATAGAGCCCGCACATAGCCGAGCCGTGCTCCCTCTGTAATTATCTCCCCTTCATGCCCTGCTGATTGCAGGCACTAATGAGCTCAGCTCGGAGAGCGCCGTGGCGGCCTGGGGCTGACTCGTGCAGCTGCCGGCGCAGCCTTTTGGAAGGGAGCTGCCCCAGGGTGTGCTTCGGGGCAGGAGCAGAGCTTGCTGTGCCTCCCTGAGGGCACCAGCAGTCTTCACCCCCACAGGCAGCTCCTGCATTAAGTGCCCAGTCGGCTGCATTTTCTTCCGTTCCTGGAAGAATGGGGTCTCTCCTTCCCTTCTTGGCCCTCTTGCACGCTCCTGCTGCAGCCCATCCTCAGACAGGTGTTGCTCCAGGCACACGAATTCAGACCTGAGCATCCCCTGTGATGCTGGTCCAAGGCCAGGACAGCCAGCACTCAGCAGCTGCCAGTACAATCACGGTGAAAGATGCCCAGAAACATTAAACAGCACCAGTTTGCCCCTGGGCACTGGGGCTTTGCTGTGGTGACCCTGATCAGCAGCACTGGGACTGAGAGGCAGCTCCTCACCTCACAGTCTGGCACTGTGTCCTTGGGCCAGCGCTGGTCCCCTGCCTAGCCAAGGACACCTGCAGGCTCCAGAGCCTGGTCATGGGTTGGCTGGAGCCCCTCTGGAGATGCAGCAGGCTGAAGGCAGCCCTTGGTGAGTGGCAAGTGGGGACATGCTGCTGTGACACACAGCAGTGGGGGGACACAGCTGGGGAGCAGGAGACAGGCTGGTGCCAAGGGATGGGGCACATCGCACACATGGGAGAGCTGCAGTGGGCCCAGCCAGGGTCTCTGCAAGGACGTGGCGGGCTTTATCCTCAGGTTCCTCAGCCCAGAGCTCCTCCATCACAGATTCCTGCTCCTTGTCATCTCACCTGCTGGCTCACAGTGAAGAGCTGCTCATGTCAAGAGCCCCATGTTTTTCCAGGGTGGAGAAGGAGATGGGAGAGCAAAGGGGTCTCCTTTGTAGAAGATTGGGCTTTGGAAAATATCTCTTTAGCTTAAGCTTTAGGGGGAAATTCAGTTTCTTATGTCATTGAGCATTCATGAGAAATTGCACGTACAGAAAACAGTATTCATGATTTTCTGCCCAGCTTTGCTTCCAGCCCTGTCCTGGAGCTGCATGAGATTTTTGCTCTCCTCTCCTGTGTTTCATAACACCATCAGTGTTTATTCTCTTACTCATTTGTACTTCTTTCCCATTTGGAATAATCAATTGTTAGTATAAACTCACCTAGGGAGCAATTACTGTGAGCCTAACCCAAACAGGCACTGGGGTGCTCCATTAAGAAATATCCCCGCCCTCCCTCTCCACGGATCCCAGAGGATACAGTATTTACTTTTCAGCTCTGCTATTCAAACTGAGCGCACTTCGGTCAGCGTGCCAAGAATAACACAAAGCCTAACAACGGGCTGCAGCGCTAAGATGGAGTTCCTGACTTTACAAATAAAAAAAATAAAAAGCCAACCTATTATTTTGCCTTTGCTGAGAAATGCCTGGCAGCAGCAGAGCAGGCAGGCATTAGAACCACCCCTCTGCCTTCAACAGAGCCATGGGCAGCGTGAAATCTGTCCTGAGGGACACAGAAAAAGGAAGAAAAAAAAAAAAAGAAAAAAAAAAGAGCAGTAAGCCTGGGGCACGGGTCATCAACTGCCTGCTTTTCCTTCTAATACAGATTTTATTAGCTTGCTGCAATGTTTTGTGTTTCCTCAAAAGCTTTGCAGAGTCATGGAGGGACACATTCCCCAGCACCTGTAGATAGTTCAGCCAGTTTTTCAGTAGCTCTGTCTCTGACCATCACGAGCCTCTGCAGATTTAATTACTAATTGCAAAGCAATTGCTGCCTGGTCCTGTAGCCTTTTCATTGTCAGCAGGGTTTGCTTTGTCCAGTTCTCCTCTGTAAATTATTTATTCACTAATCAGCTGCTAACAAGGGAAGCACTTGGAGCAAATTACCTTCCTGAGGTATTTCATGGGCATTAGCTGTATTGTATCAAAAGTCTCAGTGTTAATTTAGACAATTTGCCTACCTGAAGAAAAAGCTGTAACGGTGCAGAGCCTGGAGCTGCCAGAATGAGCCACAGGTCTGGACCTGCAGGAGGTTTTGGCATTGCCCACCAAAGAGGGAACACTCAGCCATTTGTGGGGTGTTCCTGAGAGCCAGATGTGTTTCTCCTGGAGCAGATGTTGCCATTGTGGCAGGTAGAAAACCATGCCCTGGGGTTCCAGCTCCCCTCAGAATAGATGGGCATCTTCAAGCTCTTTCTCCTGGCTCATTCCTGATGGATTTGGCACCATGCAGCCCTGGCAAGGCTCTTGTCCCAGTGTCAGTCTTCACCAGCACAGCTCCAGTGCCAGCTTCTCCTCCTGCTCCTGGTCAGCCATCCTTTAGCAGCAATTTGTGACCCTGCTGGGGACAATCCTGAAGCTGTGCAAGCCACAGGCTGCCAGCAGAGCCCTGTTCTCAGAAGGCACTGCATGAACTGTCTCCATTTATCACCTACAGACCTCTTGCTCTTAGTGCATTTTGCAGCTGTTGAAATGTTTGTGGCCTTTGTCACAACACATCCCCTCCCCAGAGCTGGTCAGGATAAACGGACACTTTCAGGTCCTAAGGACAGGATCAGTTTAGGGAATAAATCACTTGTGGATGCCCTGTGGCACATGGGGCTCTAGGAAATGTGTCAGAAAAAAAAAAAAAAAAAAAGGTGTATTTTTTTGCCAACATGTTTTTTCCTTTCAAACTCATTTCTTTTCTATGCTGGAGGACTTCTCTGGCTACCTTGGGAACACAGCAAAGACATCTCCTTCCAGCATAATCAGCTGAGCTCAAGGGAAAGGGGAGTTTTATATGGAATACTTAAAAACACCAGCAGCAGTAGGGAAAAAATGAATGACAAGTGAGATTGGACTCCTCAGCTGTGGAATGGGGACATGGAGAGCTGGCCAGGTAAAGGATGCTCAGCTGACCTGACAGGCCCTATGGTCCTGCAATAAAAACCATTATCTGGAAAATAGGTTATAATGGTGACATGACAGAACCTGCCACTGATGCTGAGCTGTTCAGGAGAGGGAAATGTAGAGCCAGTGTGAAGAACTGCAGAAAATGTGGCTGATATGGAGCAGTAGGTAATAAAATGGGAACAAAATGATGCTGGGTAGTGCAGATGTAGAAAGGCATAACCCAAGGATACAGAGAAGAGCTGAGGGGAGCAGGAAGGTGATCTGGGAGGCAGCACATCCCCCAATTCCCCCCTTGCTGAAGCCAAGCACCACCTGGGAAGGAGACCAGGATGGGATCTCCCTCCTTGCTGCTCATGCTAAGCCATGCCCCAGTGGGCTCACCAGGAGCACCCACTTCAGCAGC